CACAGTTGAGAAGATAGCGAATGAGTTTTGCAGCGGCAGCTTTTAATAAACTTTTGGGTAGGAAGTATGTTAATGCTTTGTCTCGCCCCTTTATGTTTAAAGTCACATGATGATTGATAGATTCATAGGCTGCCTTCACTTTGGATCAGTTGAGGAAGGGCCTCAAATATTTCCTTCTAATCTTAATCATCGTGTGAGAATGGCACTCGCGATTTCGCAAATGACAGAAATGCAATGAATATGAAAAACGCAACGAAAGGATATCGACAAACGAGAAAAAAGAAATTGCAGGCACTATGCAGTTCAAGGTAACTATTTCGAACGGGATCGAACTGAAACTTAAGTTCGGTACGTAGTTTTCTTATGTAAAGACTAGTCCTGGAACATTTTCAAAGGCCCACGTGCAAAGATTTTCCCACGGAAACAATTCCCATGTCTTCAACTTAATGGTCCATAAAAGCATACAGGGAAAGGAATGGAAAAAGTTGGGAAAATACATATTAGTAGTATGGGATGGGATCATTTTCAGGAACACAAACACATTCATTGTGTCAATTTGGCCTACAAATTGGTGCAAACACCACACAATGTTTGTTCATCTGATTTTGCAGAAGGTTCGATGGTGATGACTCGGGTACCGAGCTCTAACCTATCAAACTAAAATGTAAACTAAAACGAGAACTAAAATGTTTGGATAATATAGCTGAAGCCCTTGGGATGGAAATGGCTCTCTTTGAAATTCTCTCTAAATTTCACTTAGGAAGGCCCTGCAAAGGCAAATAAGTCAAAATAGCCGAACATTTTACATGAAACGTTCGATTACGTAGTTTTGAGGCGGAGAAAAGGAGGAGAAAAAGAAAAGTATTCCTGAACTGCTGGGAGGAGGCAGCGCATAAGAAATAGAGAAACACAGAAGCTTGCCAATGTATACTCTGTTGCTAAAAGGAGTCGGAATATCTTCCAAGAAACACCATGCTTTAGCCAAAAATTGACCATTCCCACATTTACCGGTAACATGTCCCATTTCCAGGTCGTACCATCTAGCAAAGCTGAATGTCACAATATTCCCAATTAGGATCGGTGCTCTCCCCGTTGTAGCACCAGGGACCCGACTTCTCATAATAAGGATTCCGACAGTAGTTGTGATGACTGTCCATGCCAGGATCAGGGAATGCCGGCAGGTACAAGATGGTCGAATGTGCATTTGGCGTTTGGCTCAGCCAGGGCTGGCACTTCTTCCCCGTCATTGTCATGTTCTTCAACCCTAAGTACTCTCGTCCACCATCCGTTTGTATGCATTCCCTTGGCTCTATATGGTCAAGAAATCAGCGAAATGATATTTTGATTATATAGAAGTAGTCATATATGTACAAGTTATCAGTCTGAAGAATGAACAATTGGCAAAAGCAAAAAATGGGCAAATTGTAGAGTTTAAGGTAAATTATTAATGGAAAGAATGCAAAGGAATGCACATTTTATACAAGTGGCTAAAAACCGAAAATATATATATTTCCACGTCTAAGTATTGACTGTCATATGAAACCATGAATCCAACATGGAGGGGATGAGTTTACAAAGAATCGGGGCCTACGAAAATGCATCAATGAATAAAGGGAAGACGACATAAGAGAAGAAAGTTACCATTGACGAACAGCCTGTCCATTATTTAGATTTAATTGCAACATTTTTGTGAACTCAGGTATAATTCATTGCTGAGTCCCGGTTTTGACGACCCAATTTAACCTATGGACGTCCTCGCCCTAAATATCTATTGTTAGTGTGTTACCTAGCGCTGGCCGGAGATATGTGACTAGGATATTCATTTAACTTGAAGCATTATTATTTGTTTGCTCATTGAGGCTGATGTGAGTGCCAAGAAGTTTTAAGTTGACTTCATGGTCATGGGAACCCTGTCTAAATGGGAATAAGTACGCTTGTTGCGCCAGGTCTAAAGGGCTCCTGCATATCCGGCTTCCGTTTTTGTGTGTGCCTTCTCTTGCTGTACAAGGACCTCTTCCAGCGGGAGTTGACAACGGTTAGGCCAAAGTATAGCAATGGTTCCAGGCCTTACGATCAAGTTACCAACATATGGTCCTTGAAGAGGGTTTCTGGCCTGACTCTGATCTCCAATCCTGGAACTAAGCGGAATGTGATGTGAGCCTACTTAGGCCTAGGGGATGGATGGCCCTGAAAATTCCTTCTTTCTGGGATCTCCAGACGTGCCTCGACTCATCCGTATGCTTGACCTCAGACTGGTCGCTCAACTGGTTTACTTACAACTCAGAATCTTCAGCCTCCAGCTCAACCTATAATGTCATCCCCCAATTGTTGCAAGAGAACCAGAATCACTCACAGATTTAAAAGTGGCCAGGCCTACACCGGTAACCCTGAAAACCTCCCTCCCTTTCTTATGTCTTGCATTTAACTATGTTAGGCCTAAGCTTGTATGTTGTTCAAAATAATGAAAATGTAAACTTACCGCTGTCCTGGTCTGCTTACCGCTCACTGGAAATATTGAACTTAGGAATAACTCCGGACTTTGTGTGGAAACAACATAAGGTTAGCCCCCACTAGGAGCCTCAGCTATCTCGTTATGAGTCCTCTCGTGGAAATTCAGCGCCTGCCCAGAGGCACTGGCAGTCGCTGACGTCACCTTTGAACCCATATTGGAGCGGCACCAGTTAGCGAACAAGAGCCAGTTAGCGAATGGCGTGTCATGAAATGCGATTCGACCATTTGTTTCTTTGGTTTCACACTCTAGCTTGTGGAATCCGAAGAAAAGGGTGTGAGGCATTAAGTAGCGCTAAGGATGGAGTGCGAAACCAAAGTAACAAAAGGTCGAATTGCATTTCACGACCTGTCGTTCGCTAACTGCCTCATGTTCGCGAACCGGTGCCGCTCCTCTTTGTTTTCTTTTAATCTGTTAAAACGTATAAACTAGAGTGCGAAACCAAAGTAACAAAAGGTCGAATTGCATTTCACGACCTGTCGTTCGCTAACTGCCTCATGTTCGCGAACCGGTGCCGCTCCTCTTTGTTTTCTTTTAATCTGTTAAAACGTATAAACTGCATTTTAGAAGCACAACCGCTTTCGTGCAAAACTGTTGCAGTTATATTTTTAACTTATGCGTTTTTGGAATATTTCCTCGTATTATGTGCATAAAGTCAAAGGGAAATATGACTACAGTGAATTTGTATTATATCATCTTACATGATTTCAGGTAATATGTTTTGTCACACTCATTAATCGATGTTATGTTTTCGGGCAAAAATGTCATAGGATTATGCGCGTGGATGTTGGTTTTTTGTGATATGTATCGAGATGTCAGAAGGTACGGACATGATGTCCAGGTAAATGTTCTATAGAATGGGACCGATAAAGGACTCCAGAAGTGTTGTAAATAAAACGTGGACGCTAAGCAACAAAGAATTAAAATATGAGAAAACGCCTATCATCTTTACATAATGTCTAGACATATGACAAATTATTCTAGGCTGTTGACGTCACTCACTTTAAATTTTTTCTGGCATTTGTGCTTCTAAAACGAGAACTTTTCAAATATGCAAGTCATTCTTTCCATTCTCTCAATCACATGATTTCTTATCACACAAAGGATTAATATGAGGGAAGGAAAAGACCTTGGACTAAATGGGACAGATAGAGCGCAAAAAATTGCCCGTCAAAAGGTTATGAAGTCTCTTGATGAAAAATATGCAAACCTTTGGTACCACGGCAGAACGGGATATCACAGTACTCCCAACTGGAATTTTCAAGGGAGACGAAGCACCAGGGTCGCTCCTTCGAGCCGTAATTACGGCAGGAGTTGGAAACCATAGACCCCAAATCCATAATGCCATATAATTTAATCCATATGTCGAAGAATTCCTTGATCTTCTGAGGCGGTCCAGGGAGCTGGCGATCTTGGAATGGTAGGTGGGAGAAAAGGAAACTTGTTAACGGAAAGCCTTGTTCCATCACATAACCCCAGTGTATACATTCCGCTCCTGTTTCCGTCTTGCTCTCTTCACCTATGTATTCCTTCCCCATCTCCGTAAGCCGACATTCTTTGTAATTGGGCTGCGTTACTCCTCCGTCTACGTGGAATGACGATCAACTTTGGACCCATTTGTGCATGTGCATGAGTAGCAGAAGAGAAGCATGCTCTCCAAAGTGAAAAGTACATTCACAGTAAAGTCGGATTGATATTCCTCAAGCATTAGTGCAATACATTCTAAAATATGGGTGATCCACTCCGGTGGAGTTGGTGGAGGTTGAGGCAGTGGGGAATCCCCGCACTTATTGACGTACTGAAGTACCTTATGGGGAATTGACAGTAAATACCAAGGATGTCAGATATAATATTAATGCTCATTATGGGTGCCCGATGTATAAAATTTCCAATCGTCCCAATATTTGTATATTCATGAGTTGGGACACCATTTCCTAAGAGAAAATATATATCTTAGGTGGGATCGGGCACCGGCACCTCTTTCTTTCGGAAATCCCTACCAGGCATC